CATTTGCCATCCTCCCTTCCTCTGCTTTTCATGCAACTCCCCCCCCAAAACTCTTCTCCCTTGCTGTTCCCGCCCTACCCCCCTCAAAATACTCCCCTCCCTCAAGACAACAGTGTTCTGGTTAAAAGTCTATATTCTGTGGCACTGCATATTTTAATCAAAGTATTTCAAGCAGTTTAACATTCCTATTTAAGTTTCCACAACGCCTCACAAAGAATGAGCTCATAAGCAAATCCATGTAGATGTATGATAAATGACCAGAAAAACAGGTTTCTTTATGTCAGCAGCCAAGGCAAGGCAGACAGTAGGCACACATGAATAACATTTTAATCACTATTTTTTTCTCAGAAGAACACTTTCTTCTCATTTGCAACAAGCAATTTCAAGTACTGCAGGTTGCATGACACATGAAGACCAGATCCTCCAAAAAAAAAAAAAAAAAAAAAGCCCCAAAAAGCAACCCTGGCTCTGGCTGCTCTGCGCAGGGCTGGAAGGCCTGTCCTTGCCATCGTGTGACGGCAGTCACCTCAGGTCCTCCCCTGGCTTCCCATGGCAGGAACCTTCGCCAAATTTAAGACGAACCGCAGTGTCACACCTAGAGCAATGTGATCTCCTTACAATAAAACAGGGAAAGGGTAAAAAAAGGAGGGAAACAAAACAAAACAAAACAAACAAACAAAAAAAAAAAAAAAGAGAGAAGCATTCCTGTGTGTGGGCAGAGGGAGAACTTTAGTGATTTTAGCTTGACTTTTAGTCACTGCCTTTCTAAAAGCAATTACTTCATTAAACAGAGTGAAACAACGTAGCACAGCTTACAGATAACATGCTTAAAGATAATTACTATAAATAATATAGCAATTATACTCCACATATAAAAGGCTAGGGAAAATAACCAGCTCAAGAATTCAGCCTTCAGTTTGTTCTGAATTAATTTTGCTAATTCGCTTGTGCTTCAGAGACCTGGCTACTAATGCTGGAGATATCAAATGGACTGGAAGCCACCACTCACTCCTTGTATTAGCATGCCAAGTGTCAACAGCTATGTTTTGGGTACAATTTAGGAGCATGTGTTTAAATCATTTTAACCTTCCACTCCTGTTTCTTCAGCTTGAGGCTGTAATTGCTGAGGTTAGAAAGTGCGGTCTCAGGACACAGGACTCCCAAATAAATTCTTGTCTAGCTGAGAGGCTCCCAAACATGTTGTGAGATATCGTTTTAGCAAGCTCTTTGTGCTCTGGCTGGCTCGCCTGTCCTGCAAAACAACGGCTGCCCATTACCTACAGTTTATCATCCTGACAAAATGTGAGGAATGTGGATGTGAAAGCACTAACAATTCCACCCCTGGTGCTTTCTCCTTTTTTTCTCTCTATATTAAAACCGACAAGATTAACCCAAATGCAAACTGCAGAGCATAGTTCAAGGGGCTATTCAATCAGCAGTGAATGTGCATTTGTTTACCTACAAAAATAAGAATTTCAGATACAATGAGAAGCAGACTAGTCTATATGCTACTGAATAGAACATTTAACAGGGTCATCAACTGTAGTTTATTTTATCAGTTTCTGACATGTTAGCATTCATTCTGAGGCAGGCTGTGAAATATCCCATATATAACTGGTTATCAGGAGGGAAAACAGCTACATAATCTAACTTAATCAGTGTCAAAGGCACCGCTTGCGAGGATAACCTTCCACATGTCACTAAGGAGAACCGCTTTGCTCACCAGCCTATGGCACGCAGGGAATAGCGACACTCAGACAGAAACAGTGTTTTTTTGAATGACATTTCTCTACCGTTTCACTAAAAGGTGCCCAACAACACTACGTCCTGTCCTGTGTGTCAGAGGCAGTGCTGAGCCCTTGTGAGGTGAAACTGAGGTAACCCGTGCTATCTCTATACATTGTTTGTCTTGGCAGAAACAACACAGGCAGAAAGTCCCCCATTAAAGTGTCAACCGGAGTTGAGTCTACAGAGTAATTTTTCTCTGTGTTTTCAAGACCATGAGATCTAAGGTTCTTCAGACGAGAAGTCTGCGAAGTCTACCAAAACCATCTGCAACAGTGATGTTTAACCTCACAAGCAATAAAGTCGCAGGTACTAGTATTTTATGTACGTCACTGAAATCTTGTGATCTGGCCGAGGCAATGAACGCAGATCTCTAAAAAGGGAGAGGCGGGGGGAAAGGGAAGGGAGCTCTGCCTTCAAACAGCTACTGCGTGCTCTCCATCCCTGCCACCTGCTAGAAATTATAACCTCTACACTTCAGTGCAAAACCAATTCAGTTTATATGTTCACCTTAACCTAAAATTTATTATTTCATACTTTATATTAACCTGACTAACAACTTCTCCCAGCATTTAATTGCCTACCTGTTCAGCAGATTTATGTGTTGAGGCTTTCAATTGAGTTAAATGCACAGCTTCCCTGAATAAATTAACCAGCACCAAAGATAGTTATTATTTCAAACCTAGGAAGGAGCTTTATTATTATACTACGCCAAGCTCCATTTAGCAGCTTCTCAAGCTAACATTCAGCCTGAATCCAGAGTGAGGACACCCTCGTCCAAGGAGAAATTATTCAGTATCCTTCAGGCAAACAATTGTGACAAGAATTAGTAAGAAATCCTGCTCTGAGAAGTGGAGCTGTCTCACCAGCAGCAATATCGGTAATGCATTTGTAAGCTTCCTCAAACTACGAGCCTCCAAGTGGCCTATAAATCACTAGCCCCAGCAATTGAAAAGACTAATTTTAATAGTGCACTTCTTCACCGTGGTGATTAAGCCTCAATGAATCACTCAAGAAAACTCAATTACATCAACAACACAACCTATTTTTAAGCGTGCATTTAAGTTGAAAAAGTAATTAGATATTATCATTAGATCTACCATTAACAACATTCAAACCTTTTTTGTAATCAAATAGTTTAGAATTAGCCAAATGGAAACACAACTGGTATTTGATAAAGGAAGCATATCCCCAGGCTCTGTAAGATGGGTTGAATTCAGCTGCTCGGATCCTTTCATTTCACTGATGGCTAATAAAAGCTATGAAGGTAAGTTAAAAAAAAAAAAAAAAACAAAAAAACAAAACACAACCAACCAAAAAAACAAACCGAGAGCAGGTCGGAGCTGGCAGAGGCTAGGCCAGAGGAGCAGCGGGCTGTTCTGCATTGGAAGAGTGACCTCTGTAGGCATAAACCCAGCAAGGGCTGGGGATGCAAAAGCCTTCCCTCCCTGCAAGGCCGAGCCCAGCCTGTGCCACCCGCGCAGCCCCGGCCCACGGCCGCGGTCCTGCGGGAACTCAGAGCAGCACCACGCAGCCCGCCTTAGAACCGGAATGGTCGCTTTATCCTCGGCGGTTACGTCGTGCCTTTCTGAGGCCAAAGAAGGGGTTTAGCTCTGGAGCATCGTAAAAGTGGCAGAGGGAGACGGGAGCGAAAACTTTTAACTACCTTCCCACCTGGTGCATATAGGAAATGATCATTTGTCACGCAATGTTAGGAATAAAAACACCGAACTGAGCAGTCTGCAGCAAACCCGTCAGCTTCCTTTTTTTTATAAAAAAAAAAAAAAAAAAAAAAAATCAGAAAACTTTTCTGTAAAGAAACCCTACAGCGATACAGCAAACGTCCATTATTGAAAAATACTGGTAGAAACCTGCAGAGAGTTTTTCCTTCGGTGGTTATTCCATATAAGTTACTACCGTAAGTAACGATGACTAACGCAAGGTTACTTGATAAACTTGAGATGCGACTCCTAATTCAAACTTTGAAATATTCACCAAACTCCTGGCGATCCAGCTACCTACATAGAATTAATCCCTGATCCAGGAAATACTCCCTTCTCATCTCATCATCACCTAACATTTCCTCTAAAAACTCCCCCGGGAAAACAAGGTGTGTGCTTACTGGATTTAATGGGAAATTCCAAATTCAATTAACATAGTGCATACGGTTAGCTTTTAAATATATATAATTGAAGATACAGCATGAGTTAAAAGAAAGTATTTTAACCCATTTCTGGTGTAAAACTCCCTAAACTCAATACAGCCCATTTCTTCCTATCGTGATTTTTGCTTTCTGAATTAGTGGGTTTAATCACGAAAGTTCAAAGGATTTCACAACTGAACACAGCCAACTTTTATTTTGCATGTCAAAAATGAAAGGGGACAAAAAGAGAAGCAGAAGTAGTTTTACATCACTGACTCATATTTCTCTTTAGAAAGACGGCCCACTTTCCAAAAAGTTCCTCTTCCCAATAGCAAGAATTTCGGATGTTTAAGTAAAGAAGGTTTGGGTGTTTTTTTAAAGAATATGCTTCTATTTTAAGAGTGTGCTTTGATAGTGAAGGCCTGGGAAACGCATGTACTTTTTTTGCCAGGGTTTGTTAATGAAGAATGACACTAAATGGTTGTGTGATGGGTAATGCTTAGTTCATTACTCACTGACATGTGCCTTGATACCATCAACTCCACAACCAAATTTAGCCCTGTTATAAGCAGATGTAACTTCGCTGGAGTCAATGGGATGAGTTTGCATCTGCAGACGGAGAAGTTGAAGAGTATCACCCTTTCCTGGCAGCCCAGCGCAGCGCGGCCCGGCCCCGGGGAGGCGGCGCCGGCTCCGCGGGTGCGGAGCCCGGACCCCGCGGGTGCGGAGGTTTCAGCCTGCTGCTGCCGCCGCCGCCCCGCTCCCGCCCCCGCTCCGCTCCGCCGCCCCGGCCCGGCCCCCCCTTCCCTCCTCCCGGGACCCTCCCGCCGGGGGCAAGCGGCGGCGGGGCAGCCCCGCCGTGACACGCACCACCCGCCCCACGGGAGGGCCAGATCCTGCTGCCGGCCCAGCCGAAGACCCCGGCGGCAGCCGCCGCTCGCAGCGTCCCCCACCCCGTCCGTCCGTCCGTCTGTCTGTCCGTCCCGCCGCGGAGGGCAGCGCCGGCCCCCGGGGAAAGGGGGGGGGGGGGGGGGGGGAAGAGGCAGCGGGCGGGAGCGGGCTGGAAACTTACTTGGGGTTGGAGGAATTCCAATATATGGGGTCCAAAACGATGGACCTCGCCAGTGCAGTTCTGCATAAAACCATCACGACTCCCCAGCAGTACTTCCAGGCGGAGGCGTCTCGCCTCCGCGCTGCCATGGTCGCAGCCGGCACCGAGTCCCTCCCCGGGGCCGCGCCAACTCCGCCCGTGCGGTTTCCCCGCACCTGAGCGGCGGCAGCAGGGTGGGGGCCTGGCGCCCCAACAGCCGGGACGGTGAAGAGGAAAGAAAGAATGACACACACACAAAAAAAAAAAAAAAAAAAAAAAAAAAAAAAATCACACGCGGAGGGTCGACGATGCACTTGGCGAGAGCTGGAAGCAGATCTACTGAGTCATGTATGCCACTCGCATGTAGGAAATTCTCCTGCGAGGTAAGATCCAAGCTACCTCCGAAGTAACAACACAAAAATGCAAACGCCTCAGTCCTTCCTCTTACTGGAGGTCTCCCGGCTGCCTTGGAAGATGCCACTCAAACTGCCAACTCCCATTTGGATCCAGTGCGCCATACACGTTCACAGTGTCTAAGGCTCGCGTGAAAAGGAGTTTAAAAAAAAAAAAAAAGGCAAAATAAAAGGAACGGTGGTGGGAGAAATAAAGGGGTTGGGGGAAAGGGACACAGCCTCGGCAGGAGGCTCCTTCTGTGTCTCTCAGTGCTCCCTGCAGTTTGCAATCCGCACAGGCACCAGCCCGGGCTGTTTCGGGCAGCTCGGAAGCAACCGCGAGTCAGTAAATCCACTCCGAGAGTCAGCTCCCCCGGTCCCGGGGAGGCGCATCCGCAGGGCTCCGGCTTCCCCGGGGGGGGCACTGCTGTCCTTGTCGCCGGCACAGACCTCGGAGCGGAGCAGGGCAAGAAAGAAGGGGCGAAAAATAATAATAATAAAAAAATAAATAAAAAAAAAAAAAGGGGGGGGGGGGGTGGTCGCAGCGTCAAAACGTCCCTAGCTCTCCCCTTGCGAGATCCGCAGTCCGCGGCGCGGCGGCAGGAGGAGGAGGAAAGCCGGGCGCGGGGACTTGCGCCGCCGCGGAGCCCCAGCGCGGAGGAGCAGCCGTCCCCACCGCGCCGCCTGCAACCCGCGAGGCCGCCGCCGCCGCCGTTGCTGTTGCCGCCGCCGCTGTTGTTGTTGCTGCCGTTGCCGCCGCGGCCAGTCCCCGGCGCAGGAGCGCGGCCGGCGGCAGCGCGCCGCCGTAGCCATATAAGCGCGGCCCCGCCGCCCCGCCGCCGCCGCTCATAGGGCCGCCGCCGGGCCGCCGCGCTGGTTGGGCGCCGCGCGTGTCACTTACCGCCGCCGCCGCCGCGGCGGGCGGGGCCGCGCCGAGACCCGCCGCGCAGGGCCGGCAGGTAACATTCCCCCCCCCCACACACACCCCGCCCAAACCCCCGCCACACACCCTCCGCCACGCGGGGGCCCGGTCACGCCACGCCACGCCACGGGGCGGCCGCACGACCGACCGACTGACCGCCGGGGTGAGCGGGGAGCCCGCTCGCTCGTAGTCACGCCGGGGCTGTGCGGGGAGGTGCGGCTGGCCCACGCGGGGCGGAATCAGAGGGGAAAAAAATAAAATGAAATGTACTCTCCGCTCCCCCAACCCACCCCCACCCCCTCAAAAAAAAAAAAAAAAAAAAAAAAGGTCTTTGCTAAAATGGAGCGTTTTTCAAATACACTGCTGTTTAAGGAGCGGGGAGCAACGGGGCGCGGCGCTCCCCCCGCTGCGGCGGGGCGCGGCCCCCCCCACCCGCGGGAGAGCAGGGCTGGCGGAGCTGCGCGGCAGCGGCCGCCTCCGCTAGCGCGGAGCTCCCCGCGCAACTTCGTGCGGGCGCCCCGCCGGGGGAGGGGGATGGGCAGCGGGGGGGCTCTCCCACGCTCGGTCCCGACTGTCCCTTAACACGGGGCCTCGGGAGTTTTCGAAGTTTATCTGGTTGCGCGACAGTTTGCCACGGGCCATCCCGAAATACAGAGGAGTTGGACGCGCAGAGCCCCCGCAGAAGGGTGCGGAGCGGAGCGTAACTAGCGGCGCTGAGGCCGGGTGCGGGTCCCCCGCCACCGCTCCGCGCCTTCCCTTCCGCACATTTTGGGGGGGGGGGGAAATTTTCGGATCCAGTTCTTTCTCAGACCCCGCGTATCCCGCCGGCACCTGGCTCCTGTACCTAATTTTACTAATTTCTGGCCAGGGGGGACCTACCCGTAGGCAGCGCTGGAGATGCTTCCCCGGTGGCTGCGGAGGGACCCCCGGGGGGCGGATGAGGGGGGGCACCGCGGGGGGGGGTGGGTGGGTGTCGCCGCTGCCACTCGGGGGTGCGCCGGCCGCCGCGGTCGGGACCCGGCGCGCCGCGGCTGCCGTGGCGCTTCCACGGGGCCACAGCTCCCACTAGCGGCCAACAGCGTCCCTCCACGGCGTGGGGAGGCGGGGGGAGGGGTCCCTCTCGGCTTCATCCCACCCCCCCTCCTCCTCCTCCGCGGCTCCCGCGCGTCCTGCCCTGCCCGGAGCCTACGCGGTTCCCCCGGCAAAGGGGCTGGTGGGTCCCGCGGTCCCGCGTGGCGGCCCCGGGGGGCCGCAGGGGCGGCACACGGGAACGGCCGGCGCCGAGAGCTGCACCGTGGCTAAAACTGCTCGTACCGCGTCACGGTCGGTCCTGTGAAGTGAAGGGGGTTACCGAATTTCTTCCAGTAGGGATTTCTTGCCACAGTAGTATCTGCAGAAAGGATTAAAAATTAAATCCCAGGAAATTACGGCGCCCTTTCTGTCATTTCTCGACCTTTTAGTGTAGGGATGCAAAGGACATGCTACAAAAGACCATAATAAAGAGCCAATTTCGCATAATTTTGTTCCCGAAAAAATAGGGGCATTTACTTAAAAATCGGGTTAGTGGTGGTGCTCGTTCGGCTTTTAGGCGAACGCGAAGAAGCCCTTATAAGGAAAACGACTGGCACTGAAATTTATTTCCTTGATCAATTTGGAAGAAAATGATCGTTTCCCTCCCCCTTTTAAGCAAAGTGGTGTTTCAGCCTGGCAGAGACCGCTCCTCTAGCTCGCAACAGAGGGGAAAGGAGGTTTGAGGCGCGCTCGATGCCCCATAGATTTTGTGTTAATTGTGTTTGGTAGTTCTCTAATGAAATCTACCACTCAAGGAAACAGGGAAATCAGTTTGCTTTTCACACAAAACATCGAATACGTTTTAAGTAAACTGCTTAATTAAATTTAATTTGCAGCGAGGAAGGAATTGCAGATCCGGCGACACAATTTGGTGGAAAAGGATCCGATTCCCAGGACGGAAACTTAGCACTCAAGTGGGAGACAGAGATTGGGTATCTATGCGCATCGAGGGGCATCAAAGGAGGGCTTCGCCAGCGAGGGGAGGAAAGTACTTAATTATTAAACTTTTAAACAAATGTGTGGTGTGTATCCAGTCGGGAGCCAGTGGAAACACTGAGCCTGATAAACGCTTCTCACAACAGAGACGTGTAAAATAGTTTTACCTCAATTTTGTCATGCTGCTTCTTCTGTTTGTTTTGAAGCAAAAGGTTACGAACGGTGTTTTGTAAAAGCTGTGAGTAAACTGTGACCTCTAACTCTCCGTGTCCTTGCTTTAAGTAAACCAGAGGAAATGAAGAGCCCTGGCATTGTCTGAAAATATCCTCCTGCAGCTAAATATATCACTCGACTTCTATTGTCCAGCGGCTAATCATTTTACGTAAATACAGCTGTTTTACTCCACTCTGCAGCATCCTCTTGACAGACACCGTAGGTGTGTAAAAATCCGCGTTAACAAAACCACTTTTAAGTAAGAACCTAGAGAAAACCGGGAGCTTATCTCCCATAAGCTGCTCGCAAGCAACAAAGGTTAAGCCGTCCAGAGAAATGTGGGCTCTCGGGGGCTGCTTCGCTCGGGTCACCCCCTTTTTTTTTTTTTTTTTTTTTTTTTTGCTCGAGGGGCCGATCCCCGCTGCTGGGGTCGGGGCGGGGGGCGCTTTCTGCGGAGTCGCTTGCGGGGCCGGGCCCGGGAGCGGGGCCGGGCGCGGGGCGCTCGGCGGAGCCCCCGGGCAGCCGCGGTGCGGCCGCGCCCCCGCCCCGGCCCCGTCCTCCTCCCCGTTCCCCCCCGCAGCACCGGCCTCCAACTTTCCCGTCTCGCTTCCGAGCGGCGGCAGGAATCGCCTCCTCGGACACGGAGGAAACGTGAGAGTACGGGTTGGGGACGGGGACGGGGGCGGGGGGGGCGAAAAAAGCGCACAAAGTGGTAGGAAGTTAGCAATCGGCTTCGGCCGCGGTGGCGGCTTCTCTGAGGGGCTATTTCAGGAGGAGGTCCCGGCAGATATTTCGGGTTTCGCGGGGATGGCCGTTTCCTGGCAGACAAACTCGCAGGGGACAGGCTTCTGCGGGGAGGAAATCCTGCCGCGGCCGTGGGAGCGGCGCCGCGGTCCCCCCGGCTCGGCGGGCGAGGGTGGGTGGGTGGGTGGGTGGGCGGATGGATGGATGGATGGATGGATGGATGGATGGATGGATGGATGGATGGATGGATGGATGGATGGATGGATGGATGGATGGATGAGCGGCGCCACCGAGCAGGTGGGACCCGCTTTTCCCTCTGCCTTCAGGGACAAACCGGGACTCTGCCATTCGCACCGCTGAAACCTTTATTTCCAGCGCCTCGATCAGCCTGACAGCAAAAATCGCATTTATCGCTGAATAACCCCTTTCGGCTTATTCCCGAAAGTGATGGGGGCAATAATTACACTGATATTGGCTCCGATCCGGCGAAATCTGTAACAAAAAGGCAGTTAATCTGAATGTGATCAGGATCGGGCCCGCCATCCCCGATTCTTTTACCAGTCTGAACATTGGCAATGAGAATACACGGAACATGACCTTTTTTATTAAGTGGAAAAGCTTACCATCATTAACAGTTACTTGAAAATTTACCAAGTTTGAAAGTCAAAAAGAGATAACTCAAGAGATACAATTACTGCTAAATTTAAGAGAGACTGATTTACATGGTTTGTTTATTGTTTGTACAAAAGGCCAAGTGTGCCGGATACTTGAAACAGCTCCTAAAATATCATTCATACCCTAACAATGCATTTTCTGCACTTAGGGTGGAGAGTATGGATCTAGAGGTTTGCCTTCTCCATGTCTTTTTAAAACCACAATTTTGGTTAACCGTAGTTTCTTAGAAAATGAGCTTGGCTCCTCCTAAAAACAACCACAGAATTCAAGCAGTGTTGCAATAAAAATCAGAAAATAAGTTGGTACATCCTAACCATGCATTTTAATTTTCCGTTTGACTTATTTTTGTATCGATTTTCAGCATCACTCTGTGAAAACTAAAATTCTAGTATTATTTTGTGGTCTGCGATGAGCTATGTAGGGTGGGAAACAAGACCCAGGATCAAACTTCCACTACACAACTGGGCTTTTACAGGGATTTATGTCCCCTTGCGCAGAGCTGACCACTGCAGCCCTTGCTTCTACGTGTCAGTCCGGGAAAGGTGATCAGAAGGATTGAGCTGTTCAGTAAGGAAGTGTCAACAGAGGCTCAGTGCTCCTCAGTTGGATAACAAGACAGTGGGACGGGAAGAGGGGTTATGAGAACGCTGAGATTCAGGGATTCGGTGGTACTAGCATGGAGATGAAACAGAGGTACATTGTGACAGTCATGGCTCAGCTCTGGCTGGACTGGCCTGTTGGTCCAAAATTGTACCAGCCCTGGCACTTCGACCATATCCTCCTGCCTTGGAATGAGCCTTAGGTACAGGGGCAGCTCCACAGTTCTCATCTGAAATAAACCATCTCTGCAATGCAAACTGCTTATCAACTTGAATTTCACCTGAACTTGCACTGCATTGAGACCCTGCAGTTAGCAGCGCTGATGATTTTTCTTCCTGCTTGCCAAAGGGACAACACATACCCAAATACCCTGAAAATGTTTAACGAAGATTCTTCATGCAGTTATGAGTGAATCACAACCATCTTCCCAGCTGGTGTACACTCAAAAAAATGGCACAGAAACTCAAAGCAATCGTGAAGAGGGCATGTTAATAGCATCAGAGAGGGGTTTACGATCTTCAGGTCAGCAAGGGCAATAGACAAGGTGAGGTGTATGAGGTGGCACAAAGCTCAAGAGAAGAGACAAGATAGATCCTTCCTTCTTTTTCAAGACAAAATAGGAGTGGATGAAGTATTGATACTTTAGTAAGATAACACTGACATATCTGTCTATACGTAGGTATGCAGTTGCTTGGCAGCTTAGACATCTTGCCAACCTCATTGTCTCCACTTTGCTAAGCTTCAAGGACACCAGCTCTCCAATACAATTCACAGCAGTCAGCTTTCCCCTTGTGCTTGGAAAAATGATGATAATGAACATGGGAAGTTCAAAGGGCAGTTTAACAAATCTCCAAAGTAACAGCACACTGCTAGGATACCACTGTAAGGCCTTCCACTCTCTCTCGCCTCTGCCAGATAGACACATTGTTCGGTATTAAAATAATTCTTCAGGATATTTATGAAGAGGGGTTGGGAAAACTAAGATCTCTTCTGTCATCATGTAAGGGAAGTAAATACTGCTTGACGTAGGTCACAACAAAAAATGCCTATCTGCCTCCCCTGGGCAGGGCGGGGGAAGGGGATGAAAGAAACCCCCCCCCCAAAAAAAAACAGATCAAAAATTATCTAACCAAAATTTGAACTTCAAACTGTCACGAAATAAAAATTAAACACCCAACACCATTTCTAACAGCAATTTCTCTAGGTAGGTTGCTATCCTCACGCAGGCCCAAGCTCCCCAGCTCGTACTGTTTAATCACTACCTAAATGTCAGTCCATGGACTAACCTACTTTGGATCAGACCGCAATCAAGTTTTAAGGGAATATAAGAACATTGCAAGTTCTTATCATCAAATGTCGATTTACCCTCCCGCCCAAACTATGTGCACCTCTATTTTCCTAGAAACCAACAGTACCCCTGAAGTCCTACAGTAATTTTAAAAAGAAAGAAAACCCCTGATTAATACAAATGTGATGTCCACTCATACTGGGTCTACAAAAAGCTATCTAAGAAATACAGAATGCTTTAGGCCAGTAAAGAGGCAGTGGTTCCTACCAAGTGAACTTCTGTCCCAACAAAAAAGCATAAATATGTATCTCCCTCTCCTTTTTAGTGGGCAGGGGGAAGGCAACGCATGTAGGAAGGTGTGGAATGTCAGAAGGGGCAATCCAATTGTGATGGGACATTTTGTCCTCAGTAGTCCTAAAGGTGCAATTGAAAATAACCTCTCAAAGTCCAAGCCTACCCAGTGTGAAGTGTAAAGAACAAATGTTACTATTTAGCAGCAAATCATTGATGCAGAACAAAAGGCTCGATACCACAGCTGTGTGTATGAGAACTTGGCTTCTTGCTTTTAGAAGAGGAGAGGAAACAAAAATGCATAGGTCTGTTTTGAGTATTGACTTTTAATAGCTTGTTTCTTGTAAGGGAACAGGGGATGTTTTCTGTTTTAGAAATACAGGTATCAGTTGAGCTTTAAATACAGCCTGCTCCTGCCAACAGGTCATGTACATGATTTATTTGGCTTCAGCTTTTGTTTTTATGCATTAAGCAACCTTCAACCTTCTTCTGTAATACAATAGATAGACAAATTTAAGTACAGTAATAGTGTAGGTATTTTACTGTCTTCACATTTTTCTAGACATACTGGACAAAGCGATACACATCAGTCTGCCCCCAAGCCCAGGTTTCACACAAAGCACACTGAACACTGCTTTCAGTGGCACACTCAGCTTGCTCCCACATTTAACTTGCCAAATTAACAGAAACAAATCCTTTGGGAATATTAGGAATTACTTCCAACTTTGTCCAGTGACATTCAGATGCTCAGGCAACTACTGGTAACTTTCATTTTACCATTACTATAGACGTTGCACACCAACAGGAAAACAAAAGTTTTAGAACTGGACAAGCTATAGTAATCCAGGTTTTGGTAGAAGAATTATATACAAAAAGGGGACTTTAATATATAGTTTTCAATCTGTAGTTTCATTTTTCAAAATAAAACCTGTATATATAAATGGATAACATTCAAGACCTGTATATGAATAACAGTTGCCTTCTGGCTAAAACAATATATTTAGACAGAATCTCACTTTCTGTTTTTCATTTCAAGTATGCTAGCCGGTCCAGTCCTTTGTGAAAAAACCTTCCATTTTTAAATCCTTTAGGATCCATCAAATTCATTATATGGTAATGACCCTAACTTACACAATATACTATATTATGAGGTGAACTGAAGGGGATTAGATATCGAAGTATTGGTTCGGGTGCAGTAAGCCAAACAGCTGTTTAAACATGATACTACAGCTGAAATAAGTCTCTGTCAGAATAAAAACCAATATTCATGAAAACAGCAGCAGCCATCAAAAACATTCACAACTGCAGGGATTTTTTACTGTGTGTAATTTTGCATTATAAGTAGGAGAAGCCACAATAGTTAAAAGCAAAATTAAAAAAAAATACCACTATAGTATTGAATTTAATAATGTGAATTGTCACTCTTATAGCTGTTTATAGAAGTGTACTAAAAGAATTTACTTAAACATATGAATTTAAGACTTTCACTTTATTCAGCAAATTGATTTATTTACACAATGGGGAACGCTGGTTGAATGCTGTCAATGTAATAAAAACAAATCTAACAGAGACAATACTGAACTCTCTCTATGTATTCATAGCAGAAATGACAAACTATTTCCTTACCTGTATCAGGAACATCAAGCGCAACAATGGGACAGTATCATAGGACACTGATTTAACAATAAACCACAGAGGTCCGGTAATACTATGGCATTTTACTCATGTATTTACTGACTTTAAAAAAAAAAAAAAAAATTAAGTCAGCAATACCCAGTATAAAGTTCTGTCAATTATCAGAGTCAAACTCTGATGAGTACGTCAGTAAAACCTTATCAGATCATCCAGAATTCATAAAGTGACCCGATCTGCTTCAGACCACTAATACAGAAACAAAATTGATGAGAACAGATTACCCTCTGAAAGGCAACAATGATCTGATAAGGCTTTAACTTAATGGAAGCTTTAAAAAAAAAAAAAAAAAAAAAAAAAAAAAAAAAAAAGAAGAAGAAGAATTGCAGAGCACAGCCCCTATTAGAACAAGCTAACTTTCCAGACTTTCAAAAAAGACCAAAAAAACAAAATGGAGAGAAAAAAAAAAAAAAAAAAAAAACGAAAAAAAACCCACTTCAACATGAAGCTACCATACAAAGTTTTTTTGTTGTTTACTTTTTTTGTTGGGTTGTTTCTTTTTTTTCTTTTAAGAGTTCAGAGTTGCTATTTAATCCTGGCTTTTTAGTGAGAAGGACAGTTTTGGCCTAGACTTTCCTTTGCCCAGGATCATTTTTTGCTCTTCCTTTTGCTGACGTTGTCTCTCTTGTTCTAGTTTCATCCTCTCCTCATGAATCTTTCTTTGTTCTTCAACAATTTTCAATTGTTCTTCAGCCTATATATGAAAATGGTAGATTTTAGGACAATATATTTTGTAGTCATAAAAGCAATTTACAAATCCATATTAAATTCCAAACAAGTCCAATCCTGCACAGGTATGTAAGCAGTTTTACCTGAACTAGATGCCACAGTTGGTTTCTGTGAAGCTATTTATAAAACGGTAATTTGAACTGGGTTTAAAAGAAACACTGAACATCTTCAGTGCATACATGCAGTGCTTTTCAGCACTGCTTTGAAAACAACACATTACATTTTAATTAAGGAAGTCAGTGTATATAGAGAGAAATTCCCCTGACACCTGTCACGTGTCAGATGAAGGCACAATATAACAGCGTAGCAGACCTTCAGAGGTCTCCCCGCTCCAAAACCCATCTAAAGCCCCCTCCTAATTCAAAACCATCTTTACTTGATTTGTAACAAGTCAATCAATTGACTTATGGCTCTTATGGCTCTTCCAAAGGTCTTCTAAAGGTGCTTATTTTGTTCATTACGTCAATTAACACTTTAAATTTTCTGTTTGTCTCATTTCTACCATATGAGGTAGGGAAAAGGCTAAAACAGAAAGAGATCTAAAGCAGATGCAGTTCAAGCAAACAGTTTTAAGAATCATCTTTACCTGAAAAAGTTGTAATTACTTGAGTAACTGAAACTGGTAAGAGTTCAATAAGGATTTAGAAGAAGCTTAGTCTGGCTTATCATTAATTTATTAGAATCAGCTAAATCATATTGAATGCTCTCATGAGGCAGGCACCTGCTTAAATAGGCTTGGAGACCAACACAGGCTACACTTTGACAACTTAGACATCTTAAGCTTATGCTGAAAGTCTCTTTCAGCACTTCTGCATCAACACTGTACTAGTCTCAAATCCAGTTTGTACTTGCCCTGCTCAACAAGACAGAATTAGTCACTTCTGTTCTAGAACCTGAACGTTTGCAAACTTACTTCAACGTTCCTTGTGAGATACAGTTAAAAATGTAACTTTTGAAATTCTGAATGCAGATATCTTCCTCTAAATTAATTGTACCTGAACTATTTTTTCAGATTAGTGTAACTGCTAAAGATCTGGTGTCTTCTGCTCGAGGGAAGGAGAGCAATGCTACTGACATAGCCAGCAATAGACAAGTTAAACTCTAGAAAGGGTCCATTTGTTTATTTTAATTGTGTTGCAAATCAAGCAGAGGGACCTGTATTCCCCTACAGAACAGTTAACTACATCTTCACATACCAGTTTAGCTTGTGCTTCTGCAATTTTTCGATTATTCTCTTCTAGTATTCGCTCTAGTTCCTCACGCTTTGCACGCTCTTCTTCCTAAACGGGAGGACAGGGCAAGATGTTAGTAAAGTAAAATATTAATTTCTGCATGTTCACTAATCTTTCTCAGAATTCTTCTGTGAACTGACTTAAAGTGGCAGCTTTACAGCCACCTATTTTGTCTCACAATGGTAAATTGTGCAGCCACTAAAACTGGTTTCTAGTACTCAATTTAAATCATCCCGCCCAGTCCAAACAGCAACCAACTAAACCCTCCCTAATCATAGAATCCTGACAATTTATTACTAGAATTTTAATATCACACAAATCAACAAGGACAACTACAAAAACTGGATAGTATTTACCAAATTAAAAGTAATATAGAAAATATAAATAAAGTGAATAGTTTGTCTCACCAATTAAGTATACCTACGTATTCTTTACCTATACTCCTTTAATCAGCATTAAAAGTTGAATATTTACTGTCTTGTCCAGTGTCCTGCAGAGTGTGCTCCTCGGCTGCCATACGCGCCAGCTTCCTCTTTAAAATGATTTGTACTGTTAGCTTGGCAATACCTGCATCAGCAGCTCAACCATTTATAAAGAAACAACATACAAGGAAGGCTGAGCTGAGGAATGCAGATGTTTATGATAAGAAGGAACAAAAATATGTAAATCATTCCTAAGGCAAACAATTAATAAGAAAAATACATTTACTGTTAGTGAAAAATACAAATGGTAATCCATACTTCATGGAGCTATGGGCTTCTTTCATGGGGAGAATGGACTTAACATTCAATATTTTGACAATTTTAATTTTAATGACAATTTTGACTGTCATTTGCAGTCTGAACTTAGAATTCAGGAGTCCAGAGAAGGCAAGATCAGGAAATAAAGCCTTGTAATTGTTGTTTTCTTGGTGAATTTTATGCAACTCTGTTATGCAACTCATAAATATGAAGACTGCGTGAAAGTTTTTGAGGTGTTTTCAGTTCACATAATATATATCCGAATTATTTTAATATTTGGAAGATTTAAAGTTAGCCAGAGGTTTGTGTCTGTGTAAGAAAAAAAAGTTAATACGAACAAAGCAAGCATACGAAGAGAAAACTTCTTACTATGACTAGTAACCAGCTACTAGCTAGCACACTTCACTCCAGGCATGGAAGTTTATTCTGCATTACAAAGAACTGATGGGACTTCTCCACATCACATTGACAACAGCAAAAATACTTAAAAAAAAAAAAAAAAGTCATCCATCTGATCAAGTGAAAACCTCTACAGATGAAGAATCTGCTGTCTACAGACATCTAAATTCAACTTAAATTATTTCATAGTAAGGTCAGAATTTGCGAACAAGTTTGATTTAATGTTCTTAGTATTGATTGTGACTCCGTGTTCCAGGTTTTTTTTTTTTTTTTGTTTTTAGTTTAAAGATATTATGTGACAGACAAGTCACATGTAGTATGAAGGGGAAAAATTGATTGATACCATCTTTCCTTTTGTAAGCCAACCAAAATATTAATTTAAAATAAATCGTGTAGGAGGTATGGAGTAAAAAAGGCATTTGAGACTTAAGACTATATAGCACAAATTTCCTTTACAGTTTAAAATTTGTCTTGAAATTTCTGGATCCTGGAATGATTGGTGCAGGCAGGCATCAAAGCCTTCAGTAGCAAATTACTGTCTCACAGAAAGACATTTTCAGCTTCTGCTCCAGCTGCTGATTAAAAAAAAAAAACCAACAACAACAAAAAAAAAAAGGAACAAAAACCCAAGTCACATGTTCAGCTTGACTTCAGACAAGGGCAACCTGCTCTTTTATAACTTCTAGGGAAAAAAAAACGAGTTGTTAGTAGTTATTAAAAATGGATATAATGATTTGGACATAGATCCTTCGTGAAGACGTGGATGGGCTTATGCTCGAAGTCCCAGAATTAGTCCAATGTATGCTCAAGGAAAATGTTCATTTTAAATGAAGAGTAGGAAACCTATTTGTTAAAGACAGGTACTGCAGCTCACTGCTGGACCCTGCTTTTTGCCTGACTGAAGGCAAAAGCCTCTTACAGTCTAGGTAAACAAAATGAAACAAATGAAGGATACATAATTACAGATTTTCAATACCCTTCCCCAAAATGAAAGGACCGTTGATAAATCCTGCAGCCATGGCAAAAGTTTCAAACAATTCTGAAATATGTAGGTCAGTTCCATTAAAAATCAAGTATCCTTGTTCAGGTTTTAGGAGAATAACTGTTTAAGTATCAGTGAGCTCCTCTGAATAAGCTAGAAATTAAGTTTCGTAGCAATGCAAGTTTATACGAGAAGGGAATTAGATTTGCTGTATTCCATCTCTTTCTGAACCGAACAGGAGGCACAAACCGACACTGAAAGTTTTGCCATGGACTGTCTCTACTTTCCAAACGACCGAGCGTTACCTCTCTGGCTTTTTGTGCTGCAAGTTCAGCTTGTCGCTGTCGCTCGAGTTCTTCGAGCAACTGTTTTTCCATGATGCGCTTAGCCTCCTCCACCCTGCGGAGAACCTCTCGCTCAATCTCATCCTTCCTTTTCTCCAACTCTTCTTCTACACGTTTAGCCACAAGCTCTTCCACTCTTCGAGCAGTTTCTTCCTCTATGAGCTTCTCTTCAATTTCTTGTTGACGACTACAAAATGCAAACATGAGGATTACATTTTTAATCAATAAAGAATGGTTGCACTGAAACAAAGCCTCTCAAATACACGGTATCAGCCACCTTACTGATTCACTTTTAAACAATTTTATACCTTACACACAGAGATCATATACTTAAAAGAATGTTCTGCCCTGCATTTAAGAAAAGTGAATATTCAGGCAATCAGTGCTCCTACCACAGAGAACCCATTCAGACCATATCATATTAAGCACCTCTCCATCTTATCTCAAGAGAGTAATCTTAAAAGGACATCTTATCATACTACTTCTTGATCATTTCAGCCGTAGGGGAAGGGGGAAGGGCTGGGGGGGGCGGGGGGGTGGTGGGGTGTGTTGGTGGTATAAAAAAGACCCCACCCAACTTAGGCCATCCTTCACCCTTCCAGAATTAAATGGTCTCAAATTTAAGCCACATGTAGCAATATTATCTTGTAAGACCTTGTCTTAAAGCCACTACCTCAGAGGCACCAAACATGTCGAATAACTAAAATAGAAGACAGTAGCAATAACATCTATGATTTGAATATTTTTAAAAGAATTCCAGGTGTTATATCTGCAATCTAGTTATCCAAACATTTATCTTACAAAATTTCAAATACCTCACCTCCCCTTAACTTCTTTATTGCATCACTGTTACTACTGCAATTATCCAAAATTAAATATACCAATACCAAGCTCTAAATAAATCCTTGCAAACTTTGCAGTTTGCCATGTTTTGAATTTTGGAAGTATTTTCAAATGTCTTCTTGTCTTTATTCTTGTTTAGCAGCAGCATTATCACTTAGCCTGATACCTGGTTTATGTTTTCATTAAAAAGCACACAAAAAGATTAGATCAATTTGCAGGTTTATTACCAAATGAAGAAAAAAAAAATCTTCCAGGTACTAATCACTACTACACTATGGCAACTAGATATCCAAAGACCAACAAAAGTGAATACTGTATAGCTATGTTTCATACAGTACTATTTATTTAGAATTATTATGGGTTTTGGGCAGAAGGTTGTTCTTCCAACTTTAAAACTGAACCTTCATTTTAAGTATTCCATGAAGCACGAAACAATCTTATAAACTTATCTTCTGGTCCATCAGCTCCAGAAATCCATGATTTAGAATAACTACTACTGTTGTAATACCCTTAATATCCTGTCATTTTCATAATGCTTGCATTTTCCTATCGTATGTATATTGAGAAACATAAACCCAACTCATAAAAAAAAGAAACAAAAACCAGGATTTACTAATTTTTAGATTTCCCAGTGTACAATTTGCAAACATGAAATAGGAGATAATGAATTATGGATTACTGATCTAGATAAACATGTGAAATACCGAGGTGAAAGGCTCCAGATTTCCCCTGTTCATGTACCTTCTTTCCAAAAATGTACTGAACCAAAGTCTATCTCATTCAATAAAAAGGTTTGAAACCTTCAACTTAAACATTCAGACCCAGAACACAAATTTTATTCTTACATTCCTCTAGAGATAGCAAACTTATCTGGTGGCACATTAGGCCAGCATTCACTTTTCCTAAAACGACACAAAGTATCTTGACATTAATTTTTCAGAAAACCAAAACACAATCTAGACCATCATCACCATCCAGAAAAATGCATCAATCCCATTCTGTGTAACTCTGCCAAGCCACTACCTACAATCCTTTCTGGACACATTTTTAAATATCCTTTACATACTAAATACCCTTTTTAAAGGTTTTTCTTCCCTCTTATGAGTATTTATTCAGCAGCAAGTACTCTCACCATCCTGTACTGATACAACTTAGCATACATAAGAGGCTGTTCTACAGAAATATTTTTTCAGAAAGCTCATCTTCACATGTTTTATTCAACTATTTTAGCTTTACATTTAACATCAAGAAAATCTAGAATAAAAGTTTACTAATTGAATAAACATAGTACATAGTTACAAAAACCCCCAACACTCATGTCTGAAATAAGTTGTCAAATATCCTCAGCAATCAATGATGTACTCAAAGTAAGGACTGGGCCTGCATGTTTCATTCTTCTCACCCCAACAAATTTCATTAAAATTTAATTAAACCAAGCAAATATATATTTTTCACATTCATAGGCAATAACAATATTGCAAATATATAATAATACATATAAGGGCTTTGATTTTATCAAGGAAATCAAATTGTAAATACTGATATAAATCTCAATGATTTGTTCTGTAGTTTATACCAACTATTCATTATTTTTTAAAAATAGCATGACGTTAGAGTATTTTATATACAGGTGTAAGTTTATCATCCTGACCTACTGAGCTGTGACTCCAGAGTAACAGATAAATCATTACTGTAAAAGTATTTTTAATATGCTTCATTTACTTCTTAAAGATTAATTTTATAAAATCTGCAGAAAATAAGCTTCTTAAGTTTCAGCAGATTTCTGATGAAAAAGAAGGTTTTATTTGCAAGGCCTTTACACAAAACTAGCTTTATAGGAAAAAGCAGAAGCTAGGCTATGTAATAAGATTTGAAGACATGAGGAGAAAGTCACTTTCAATATGTGAACTGTCCACTAGTTAATTCACTCAGCAAGAAAGCACTTCTTTCCTTCACCAACAGGAATACATACTAACATACATAACACAATTTACAGACAACTTACTCAAATACTGTATTTGTCAAATAAGTTTTATTGCTTTTTCTTTTTTAAATTTAAAGTGTATTCCAGGAGCATCAAAATTCTATGCCCAATCTTTTCCAATATTGTTTCTGCCTCAGAAGTTTACTGTTCTCTTGCCAATATCAACACACGTCATAATCCTCCTATACATATTTCATGTTTCAAAATTTCAAAGATAACTTTAAAGAAAGCTTACTTACATATGAACTAAAACAGCTCCAGAATACTAGCATAAACTATTCACTGTATTCTCAAATTGTTATGCACATTCCAATTCTTCATCACAGATATTCATGGAATATTTTTATTAGTTTAGGTACTGATTAAAATTATAAACCGCAAAATTAGGATAAATAACTGAAAAAGCATTCAACGTTTTCATGTATCTTTGTGTTACTAAGCAAGTTTCTGATGACACCGCTGTCAAACTCTGAAGCTAGCAAAGGAGATTATCGACAAGCAAAACCGAAAGTGACAAGTCGGGGTGATCAAGCCTTCTGAACTACAATTAATATCTCATTTGAACTATGCCGCTGAAGTAAAACTCTCCACCTGAGAATTTACAGAACTACTTGGCTTCACACGTACAAGCAAGTGCTATTTCTGGATTCAGTGCTCCAGTGAGCAAGGGTAACATTCAAAGAACAAGAATCACTTTATCACAACTGTGAAAACCATTGCTATCTCCACTGCACAAAGGTCTGTCGTAACTTAACAATATTGCTAAGCATCTTAATGCACGCCCAACGTTCGTTGAAATAGAATTTCTCTATCCCTGCAGGCTTTATAAATAACAACATTCCCCACAACGAGAACCGAAAAAGGCTTCAAATTAAACAAGTCACCGGATCTCACTCTCCCATGTGGCAAGAAAATAAAACTGAAAAATCAAACCACGCTGAGCGTCCGTATAATCGCTGCACGGCATTTCTTAAAAACCCGAGCGACTCCAGATGCCTCCGCTCGACGCCGAACGAGCTCCACGCAACAAAGGGGAGGGGCGGGCAGCGTGGCGGCGGCGCCGCACAAAGCCGGGGGGGAGGGGGGGGCAGCGGCGGAGGGAGCCCCGCACCCCCGGGGGCGGCCGCGGACCCGCCCGAGGGGGCGAGCCCGGAGGAAAGGGAAGGATGGCGGGAAAGCAGGCAGAAGCTAGGCCTCAGCGAGGGGCCTCGACGCCTTTCGCCCTGCGGCCCCGGGCTGGAGCAGGGAGGCGCGGGGAGAAAGGCACCGAGAGCATCCCACCCCCACCCCCCCTTACCCCCGCCCCCGGGGCTCACATTTTCCGCTGCCGCTCGAACTCCGCTTTTTTCTCCTCCTCCTCCCGCTTCTGCTTCTCGTCCAGGCTGCTACGTTTGCTGACCGTGCGCCCGAAGATGTCGATGCGGTCGGGCGGGGAGGAGGCGCGATCGCGCTCCCGCTCCCGGTCGCGGCGGGAGGAGGGGGCCGTGTTGGAGCGGGAGCGGGAACGGGACTCCCGGCGCCGGTTCCGCTTGCTCTCCCGGGACTTGGAGCGCTTCCGCGCCCGCTCCTTCTCCCGGGAGCGGGACCGCGATCGGCTCCGGTTCTTCTTGTTGTGCTTAGAGCTCTTCGTGTGCTTGGAGCGGGACGAGCTCCGGCTGCGGGACCGGCCCATCCCGGCAGAGGAGAAGAGGAGGCCGCGCCGGCGACCGCCCGACCACCCCCGCCCCCTTCGCTAGCGGCGCCCGGGACAGGTGCGAGGAGGCTCTGAACGCATCAGCGCCGCCCGGGTGGGCCCCTCGTCCTCTCCTTTCCCGCCGCTTTGCGCTGTGAGGAGAAAAAGCAGGCCCCGAAAGCGGGAGCGAGTCCGGACGCAGGCAAGATGGCGGCTCTAGCAGAGCGGTGACTCTCCTCTTCCGCCCCACAATGCACTGCGCCGCCGCCGAGCCGTTTGGTCCTCCTCACCCCCTCCCGCTCCTTCGGCGCCGCGCCGGAGAATCACGAAAGCACTCGGGAACGGTCGGCAGCCAATGGCAAGCGTCTCTCCAGGAGGAAACTCCGACAGTCAGCGCCGCCACTCTGCGCATGCGCGCAGCCAGCGCTGGGCGCGCTGCGGCGGTTGGGGGGTGTGTTTTGGGAGCGGGCTGGGTCAGGGCGTCGGGGCCAGTTTTTGGGGGGTCAGCTGGCAAGTTGGGAGCTGGCCCCCTCGCCGGTGCTTTTCGGGAGGGGTGCTGTACTTGCCGCGCCGTAGGCCCGTTTGCTGTTAGGGCAGTGGAGGGTGGACGGGCGGTCGTGCTTCGGCCCGGCCGCGGTGAGGGCAACTTCTTAAAGAGCCCCAAGGGGTGGGGGCTGGAATTTTAGGCATCGTAAGGTCTGTCCGGCCTGGGAGGCCACCTCGGGAAGCGTGGAAAAGGGCTAGGCCGGTGGGCTGCCCGCGGGAGCGCTCTGTGCGTGGGTTCCACCCCCCCCGGCCGGTTCCCCTGCGGTGCGTGTCCGGCGGGCTGCGGCCCGCCCGAGCAGCCCCGCGTCCTGTGCCGCCGTGCTCCCCCGAGCAGCAGTTGCCGCTTTTTAATTAAGGCTTTTTAAAGCTTTGATGGATTTTGTTGGTTTGTTTGGGTTTTTTTGTGTTTGTTTGTTTGTTAATTCGTTTTTTGTTTTGACACGGGACAAAAGGAATCCCTCACTTAAGATTAAGGAAGCTATAAAAAAAGTCCCCATTAAATTGTGAAAATTCTTTTTTCAGAGTCCTCTGTTGAAGCGTAGAGTCACTTCGTTGTAGCTACTCTACTGTGGCACAGTGAATGGCTGTTTTGACTGTATTTAGGGTGAACCTGTACACATTATTGTCCTTTGTTGGACATGGGTATGTAGGCAAAGGAATCAACTTCAGGTCAGACAGAGAATGTGAACTAGTGGTTCAAGGTGTCTCTGTACAAGGTTTTATCCCTGTTCTGCAATGTAATTTTCAGTCTTTTCTACCATAACAAAATTTGCTACTGGTGTTATTCTTGATTTCAGGTGAACTGTGGCAAGCTATAGATAGTTAAGCCTGATACTTACTTTCAGTGGAAATTAGCTCCTTAATCTTTCACAATTCATGCTTTTTTTAAAAATAGATCTACATTTTCAGTAAGTTTTAAGTACATTTTGCAGAACATTCCTGTAGACACTGGACAAAATCCAATGCCATTTAAAGGTATTTTCATCTAATTCTTTTGCCTGACTGATTTGTCTTACTTTTCCTGAAGGAGGACTTAAGTTGAAATTCAGACTTACTCTAGTTAGTACCAGAAATAAAATTGAAGCATCTTTCTGACAGACCACTTTGCAAGTAACAGCAGAGTAATGGACATTGTAAAACCTGCATGGCAGGAAATCCAGTCACAGACCCTGAGCACACTTGCTTGTGTCTTGCCCCAGGGAAGTTCATGCAACTAAGGAAGTTGACAATCAGACCTTTTAGCTTGGAACCAGGTAGGTGAGTTTCCAGCTGGCATTATTTTTACAGCAACTTGGCTACAATTGAGTACTGGAGCTTTTACATTCATATGATGCAACAGGTTCTAGTTAAAAGGTCTGTCATGGTTTTATTAGTACTACATTTTGTATTGAATGTACCAAATTGACCTGGAATGTAGAACAAAAATTAAAAAAAAAAGACATCACTAATTGTTTTATAGTCAGTTACAAGTATAAATGAGTTTTAAAATATTCAGTATAAGTCGAGTTTTCTCCTTGCTAAATCATTATTAACAATCTATATTTAGCACATTGGTTGTCTGAAGAAATACCAATTTGAACAGTGTAATTCTATTTCTCTTTAGTAATACTGATTCATCAGAGTTATGAAATATACAATATTTTATGAGAACAACTCATGATGATTGTGTGGAATTAAGAAATTATATAGTACGGTATAATGAAATATATTTTCCCAATCCATTATTGTATTGCTTTGTCTCCAGTTTTTTTAAAACTCCTGAATTAATAAGAGCACGCGATTTTTAACACCTATACTAGGTTAAGGTCGTTAGCCCATTTGCTTTGTTACTTACGAGGACTAAATTCTGGTACTTTTGGAAGAAGCTCCTTTTCCTCTTAAAAAAAAAAAAAAAGTACATTCCTGAGAGCTGACAAATTGGTAGAACAACATTCCTGTATATGATTTCTTTTTTACTTTGAAATTTGGTACATAGGGTTGTTTTTATCCCATCACCTTACTTTTTCCAATTTAATTGTAATAAAATATTAATATTTAGTTTTGTTTATTTCCCCTGAGGTGTAATTACAATTGATATAGAATTACAGTATCAAAATGAACTTTTAATAAATTCTAAATTTAAGAACCTTGTTTCATTAATTTAATTTGTTTTCAGTTAGGTGAAAAAGAAAATGGTAATATCCCATGTCAGTTCCCTTTCAAAATTTTCAATATTTTATTAAGCTAGTGTAATTTTTTTTCTGAATTAAATAACATTGCAATTTCTGAGTTGTTAATCACATGTAAATTCCGTGTATTATTCATGGTTTGGTAGCCATACTTCATTTCTATGCACTCTTGGTTTTGCATTATTTTTCTCCATTTTAATATATCTCAGTATATTAAAATGCATAATTTGCTTCTTAAAACAATTGCCTTAGAGTTGGGAAACACCTTATTTGACAGCCAAATAGGGGCATAATTAAAGCACCTCACCCTTCTTTACCTTGGTTACTATCATCACATGAAATCTCTCAACCCCTAGGCATTTCAGGGTAGCCCTGTGGAGATACTGTGCTCTGATAATCTCCAGATCATACCTGCTCTCACTTAGAACATCACTTTCGTCATTAGCTGGGTGAAGAGGAATCTTGGGAGATTAAAGGTGGATTACTATGGTTTGTGTTAGTGTGGCACAGCTGGGTGTAAGATCTTCGTAATAGGTCTAAAATGGAAGAACTCTGAAGGGTAAGCAGAGAAAGAAAGCAAGAGCATGCTAGAATAAAGTGTTTGGTATATAATTTACTGTCATCTGTCTCACAATAGTAAGAGGACAGGAGTAGCACAGAAGAGCTAAGTTCTTGGAAGGAGGGAAAAAAAAAAGTGGTTTAAATTTGTGTTGGTTCTTTCAGAGTAGCTATTTCAGCCTGAGTTTATTACAAGGTCAGAAACAATGTATATAGGGTTCATTGTTTGTTTGTTTTGTTTTTTTAAATTATGAGTCAGTGCTGTGATTCATGTCCCATAGATCACAGAAGCTATGCAGGTGTAGAAGTTGTATACCTAATCAATTATTTTATTTTTCCTTTTCTTTTTTTCTTCTCACCTAATGCCAAGTTGCTTGTTTTGCTTATGCATTTTCTGTCAGCTGCTTTGTTTCTCTCCTAGCAGTGCTATGGAGTTCTGAGCTGCTAAGCTGCAGAGGTAAGGAGGTGAAGCATCTGGGAGACCAGCAGAACAGCTGTGAGGAAGGGATGGCGGGAGCATGGAACACTTGGCAGAAAGGGAAATACCTTTTCTAAAACTTGAGAGAATAAGTCATTAAAACTGCTGCTGCGAAAGACTCCTTTGAAAAGGGGGAAAAAATGATTGAAAGAATGGAGAGGAAACCCTGTACAATGAGAAATTAAATAAATGAAAGGGTTTTCATATTGTACGTATACAGAAAGACTGGGTAAATTGTATACATAAGTATAGTTATTTGCTAAAATACTCCTCTTTTCCGTATGTTCAGATGTTAATCATATACTTGGAAAATGAACAATACTGTATAGAATGCTGCTGAAAGTTTTGTAATTTGGATATGAAAAAAGGCACAGTTTGAGTAATTTGGATTAGTGTGTGGATATATGATAAATTAATTTAAAACAATATCTATTCTCATTCCCATGTGGATTTAGTTCTAGAAAATAAATAAAATCGCCAAATCACAGCCAACATTGGAATTTTAAAATTACGTTAATTATCAGTGTCAGAGGACGCTGTATGATTTTTTTGTGTGTGTGTGTAAATCCACTTACCACTTTTTAAATGTTTGAGCTACCTTTCTACATGAAAGCATGGAAAAGGAACATTCATTCCTTTGCTTTGTTCACATTGCTTAGTTCAGCAAGGTCCTAAACTCTTGAACACTATAAGAAATGCTGAATTTAAGTTTTGATCACAGCTAGAGACACTGATCTGCAAATTGTGTATCCATAGTGATATACCTTTTTCTCAGTGAATATTTTTAAAAAAATCATTGATATTGTATGGAGTCTGCAGATTTAATATCATATATAAGTATTTATATTTGGACCTACAACTTGGTTCATTGAAGACTGACAGTAATAAAAGTCCAACCAACCTTTTTCAGCAGCTACATAATCATGGAGCTGCTTTTTAACTCTGTAGGCATATTTTGTTTTATCCAAAAGACTTCATAGTAATTGTAGTGTTTGGTTATGTGTAACTAGGGACTTAGCCAATCAGAAATTAGTTGGTGTCATCTAAGCCTCATGAGGGACTGATCCACTGTGAATACTTCAATAATTCCTTTTAAAAAACAACAACAAAACAAACCAGAGTAGCAATGGACACTGGTATTCAAAAACAGGTTGCTCATGATCCAGTCATTAGCATAGTGGTTAGACTAGTTGGACAGGCAAGAAAATTGAATTCAGGTGTGTCCTCATTCATATCAATGCCTTTTCCTTCCCATGACAGTGGGTTAATCACCAGGCCAGTGTCTAGGCTGGAGGAACGTGAGAAGGGAGTTAGGGGCCAGTCCCCTTCTGCTTCCTCAGTTGAAGCCAAGTGGATTTCACAAAATACAAAATATACATGTTCAGATGCAGGAGGCAATGTAGTTGTGATCTACTGACTGTGGTACTCTGGAAGGGAGGGGAGCAAGTTGCCCTGGATATAAGTCTATTCAAAAGATCTGTTTTGAATTTTGTTAAATAATCATAAGAAACGGGGCTAA